ATAAGTGGGGTCAAATTATGGAATAATTTAACTGTGGACATGATAAATAGTACTAGAATTTAGGAGTTTAAATATAAATGTATGTGTTATACAAGATATATGCAAGAATAAGATTTATTCGAGAAGGCATTGAGGAAACACTCTGTTTTATCTATGTAGAGATACTGCTTGCAGCTGATGATGCATGAAATTTTGTAATATGATGTCATGGGGTAGGACTGGATAAGTCTGACTTCTTCCTACTCCATTCAAACATGTATTAGGTGTAAGCAAACTGATTTTGGATTAGTATTTGTTGGATATGTGAAATTATGTGTGTTGTTGTCATTTGTTCTGTTCTGCATGTTTGAAAGAATAAAATCAATCAATCAATCAATCAATCAATCAGGTGAGGCTGGGGAAAACCACATCCAGCACCCGGACAATAAGCACAGGCACACCCCAGGGATGTGTGCTCTCCCCTCTGCTGTTCGAACCGCTCCCCTCTGGACGGCGTGACAGGTCACTGTGCGCCAAGATAACTAGGCACAGGGACAGTTTCTTCCCCCAGGCTGTAACTTTGATGAACACTTGACCCACGACAGCATGACTGGACAATAACCCTCAGCGCAATACCTTTCCTCAGTGTAATACCTGTAAATATACATTGTACAGAGAATACAGATCCGTACAGTTGTCTTATTCAAGTACTATTTTTATTCCTATTTATCTCATCTCACAATATACATTCTTTAGTCTATCTGCATTGTTGACTGCCTGTTTATACTGCTTATTTTGCACTGTTTGTTGCTTGCTAATGCTGCTTATTTTGTTATATTACACAGCTTTATGTTGGATTACTGTTTACTTGCCCCTTGCATGGGGATATGTACATGCACATTGAGAGCCGATGTACCAGAGTCAAATTCCTTGTGTGTCCAACACACCTGGCCAATAAAGCAGATTCAGATTCTGAAATGTGGACTCAGACCACAGCACACTTTGCATCAGTCCATCTCAGATGAGCTCGGACCCAAAGAAGCCAGAGGCGTTTCTGGGTGTTGTTGATGTATGGCTTTTGCTTTGCATGGTAGAGTTTTAACTTGCACTTGTAGATGTTGCGACGAACTGTGTTAACTGACAATGGTTTTCCGAAGTGTTCCTGAGCCCACATGGTAATATCCTTTAGAGAATCATGTCTGTTTTTAATGCAGTGCCACCTGAGTGATCGAAGGTCACGGGCATTCAGGGTTGGTTTACGGCCTTGCCGCTTATGTGCAGAAGTTTCTCCGCATTCTCTGAATCTTTTGATATTATGGACTGTAGATGATGAACTACCTAAATTCCTTGCAACTGTACGTTGTTCTTAAACTGTTTAACCATTTGCTCATGCAGTTGTTCACAAAGTGGTGAACTGCGCCCCATCCTTGCTTGTGAATGACTGAGCCTTTTGGGATGCTCCTTTTATACCCAATCATGACGCGGGCCTGTTTCCAATAAACATTCAACTGGGGAATGTTCTCAACAGGTGTTTTTTAAGCATTAACAAACTTTCCTAGTCTTTTGTTGCCCTATCCCAGCTCTTTTGGAACATGTTTCAGGCATGAAATTCAAAATGAGTGAATATGCCATGGGGACTTTAATGGGTGGTAAAGGGCTGGAATCTTGGATGTACTAGGTATAAATAAATTGATATTGGATTATGTGTAAAATTATGTGTGTTGTCATATCAACTGTTTTTACATGCTTGAAAGAATAAATCAAATCAAAATCAAATCTTACCGTTTATTACAATTATTTAAATAAACTATATTTATCCAGCTCTAAACTGATGTGGACAAAGTAGACAGCTGAAGCTTCATTTGAGCCCAAGACACACTTTGGAGTGCACAGAACAAGAGCTGTATATCCTGTGCTTCATTTCTTATAACGTAGTCGCATTTCAAATAAAAACCTTCAGGATTGGTACATAAAGAAGGAAGTTACACTGACTATTATCATATACATTTGGACAAGCCAATATCATTTCATGACCAACCTGAAAAGTCCCAAACATATCAATTAAAGTTTAGTCTTACCAACAAACATCTTGACATCATTGACAGTGAAGTCGGGATCAGGCATCCTACAGAACAAGAGGTTACTCATGTTACTTGTGCTCATGTTTGGTTTCTTAATCAAATTATGACAGCAGTTATTTTTCCAGTGGAGAAGAAAGATCAAGCAAGTTACCAAAGACTACATAAAAAGGCTTGAAGAAGTAATTAAAATGATGAGGAGGAAGAAAAAAAAAGCCTACTTTATTCCTAGTCCATCAGGCTTCTCAAAGATGATTGGATCCCTCAGACCACCTCTCTGAATGAATTCGTATGTAAAGTCTAAAAACACACACACACACACACACACACACACACACACACAAAGACTATTTTCATCCCATTTTTGTGGTTTGCCATCTGCCATTTTTAAATAATTCCTGACAGTCTTGGCAATAACAACCGATTTGATTGCATAAACGACATCAATATCTATCACAGTAATCTGTGTCAGCCATGGGGGCAAGACGGAGTGATGTCAAATACTGCAACTTGCTGTTGTCACCAGGCAGCCTATCATGTTAAACTCATATCAGAGCTTTATCACAATAAAATGCAAATCTCACCAAATGTTCTGGCCTACCTTTTCCCTCCATGCGAATAACACGGTCAGAGGTAAATCTCTGACTGTTAACTTTCTCCTCCAGGTCAAACATCCTCCTTCCATCAATTTCTTCATCGGAGATGCCATCATCATGGTAACGTCGTCGGGTACCAGCCCGCTAGGAAAGGGAAATAAAAAGTGAAGGGGTAAATATAAAATAGGAGACAAAGTAAAGGTAGGTGACAGAGAAAAGACAAATAGTGGAACGAGGACAAGTTCAAGTTCAAAGTGTTTGTCATATGCACAGTTAGGAAACGTGTTTCCCTGTTCAATGAAATTCTTACTTTGCTGTCCACGTGAATGCCACAAAATACAAATGAAATATAAAGTAGATGAGTAACACAAAATCTAAGGCACTTTAAGCAGCAATACAATTAAAAAAAAAAAAAAAGAATATACAGAGAATGTATGCTGCATGGGAGCAGCATGTGCAGCAGCCAACAGTCATTGTGCAATTATGCATGTGCAAACTGAGAATGTAAACAGTACATCACATATTTCCTGGTAATAAATTCCTCAGCTGTTTAGAAGTCTGATGGCAGAGGGAAAGTGAGTTTTTCAGTCTAGTGGTCCTGCATTTCGCACTTCTGAACCTCCGGTGAGAGGGTTGGGAGTCGAATAGTCCGTGCTGCGGTGGGTTGGATCTTTGAGGATGGAGGCAGCTTTCCTACGCACCCTGCGGTGGTAAATGCTCTGCAGAGAGGGCAGTGGAGTCCTGGTGATCTTCTCCACAGTCTTTACCACTCTCTGCAGGTGCTTGCGGTCCATAGCAGTAGTGCTGCCATACCAGACAGTGATGCAGCTAGTCAAGATGCTCTCATTGATGCAGCTGTAGAAGTTGCAAAGGATCCTAGGCGACATGCCAAACCTCCTCAGGAAGTACAGCTGCCGTTGGGCCTTCTTGACCAGCTGTGCGGGGTTAAGTCTCCAAGTAAGGTCCTCACTGATGTGGATGCCCAGGTATTTGAAGCTGCTCAATCCTCTCCACTTCGAGCCCGCGGATGAACAGTGGCTGATGAGATCTCCTCTCCTTCCTCATGTCCATTATCATCTCCTTCGTCTTGTCCATGTTGAGGCTGAGATTATTGTCCTTGCACCATGACACCAGACCAGCCACCTCCCTCCTGTAGGCTGCTTCATCCCCACCAGTGATGCGACCCATCACTGCGGTGTGTCCGCAAACTCAAAGTGACAGTGGTGCAGTGGGTATAGCAGTCGTCTCTAAACCAGAAGGCTGAAGGTTCGAATCTCGGTGCCGGCAGTCTCCTCCCCCCCTTCAACAGATTGTTATTGGTTACTCTCTCAAAACACTTCATAATGATTGGGGTTAGTGGTGCTGGCCTGTAGTCATTCAGGCTCTTCTGACCGGGCTCTTCTTGGGAAGAGGGACAATGGTTGTGGTCTTAAAGCAGGTGGGAACAATGCTCTGGCTGAGGGAGGAATTGAAGATGGTGGTGAGAACATCAGCCAGCTCGCTGGCGCATGCCCTGAGAGCCCTCCCAGTGATGTTGTGCGGTCATGCTGCTTTGCAGGGGTTGATCTTCCTCAGGACTTTGCGTGCCTGGCCTGGTGAGACAGTTAGTGGAGGGGAGGTGGGGGGCTGGTTGGTCTCGGTGTGTGTGTGCCTCCTCTCTGGGCTGTCGCTGGAGGTCTTAAAGCAGGTGTAGAGGTCATCCAGCAGGCTATCTGGTGAACAGTGCTTATAAGCACCTTTAGTGTTTGTGTTCTCGCTTTAGATTACACTACTAGTTCATTATGCATCAGTTTTTGTTCACAAAGCATGTACTGCCCCTGATTTAAATGGTATAGTAAGTGGCACAAAAGAAGTCTTTGCTGCAATCTCAACCACTGCCAAGGTGCACAAATGAGGAGAAAACAGACTAGAGAACAAAAAGTCCAGCAAAACTCAGTGTTTTAAAGCAACTTAATACAAAAGAACCAAAGCGCGGTTTTGCTCGGTGGTAAGAGCAGAGCTCCCAGTCCACTGGTTCTCAGCCGGAGAATCCACTGGAGCTCCCATGCACTGACCCCAGTATAAGCACGACCCCCTCCCTGCCTCACATTCTAAATGAATGGTCAGCAGGTTTGACAGGTAACAAAGGGATAATTCCAAGATGAGTCATCAACTCCCTTGTGCTCCATAATCACACACAGTTCTCTCTCACTGCATTCAACAATGGAACTAATGCACTGACTGGGCACTTTATTAGGTACACCTGTACAATTGTGTGCATTTCGATGCAACACTTCCATCCTAACAACTGCGTTCATGAAGCTCAATATGTTTCAGTTTTTGGTGAAATTGTCATAAATGTATAAATGCAATTATAGGTTTATTATTGAGGTCAGAATTAAAGGTGCTGTTGTACTGGACCACATTATATTCAGAGGTGTGTAGTGAGGTGTAGTGGGTAATGACTTTTGAATAGTCATTAAATTGAAAAAAAGACTATTTCATAGGACTATGATTTTGTCTGTTTTTCCCCTTGCTTTTACCGGCACCTGAATACAGTCAAAAAGTTCTGTGTGGAGTTTATTTGAGAAATAAACAAAAATGAGGTGCAGTGCAAACTCTGCTAGGTTAAGTTAGCATATCATAAATTGACAACAACTATGCATAGCCATTGGAAGACAAGGCGTCCAGCATGTGGTCCACAGATCAACAGTCAATGGCTACCTTTGTCACCCAAAGAAGGAAATTTGATGATCGACATGCAGAGCAAAACAGCCCTCATCACAAAGATGACAGACATGCTACGTATTAGCTTTGTCAGGGGGGAGGGTTTTTGAAGTTTGACGGCATTTGTTCAGCCAGGGTATACGGTCGCATCAAAAAAAAAAAAAATGGTGACAGCACAACTAGATAAGCTGTATGATGATAATGCATGTGAGCTGTACAGTCGTTACAAATGAATGCTGTTGTATGCGATAGTCACCTGGCATTATATAAGCAACTGGAAAATACAGAGTGCTGTTCTTCAGTCTAAAGCAACTCTGGAGAGGCATACTGCTAAAAAACCTAGCAAATGTGCTTTCCACCACCATGGAACATTGGGTACTTCCCAGCAAATGCCAAATATTATTTCAGCTTGAAGTGGCCATTACTACTCCACTCTTCCTTGCCCCTTCTGCCATGTCTGTGAAACTACGTCATATGTAGCAACTACAGCTGGAAACAGATTCAGCAGTCAGGCGGCTCTGCAGTAATATTAACAAATACAGTCCATAGAGCCTGTGATTTTCTGTGGCATTGCAACAAGAAGGGTCCTTTTTCCTACCTAAAGCAGTAACACAAGCAAATTATACAAATGAATGTTTTTTCCCCCAGTAATATCAATACAGTACTAATGTTCCAGCCACTACTGCATCACTTGCAGTGTTACAGTGCCTTGCGAAAGTATTCGGCCCCCTTGAACTTTGTGACCTTTTGCCACATTTCAGGCTTCAAACATAAAGATATAAAACTGTAATTTTTTGTGAAGAATCAACAACAAGTGGGACACAATCATGAAGTGGAACGAAATTTATTGGATATTTCAAACTTTTTTAACAAATAAAAAACTGAAAAATTGGGCGTGCAAAATTATTCAACCCCCTTAAGTTAATACGTTGTAGCGCCACCTTTTGCTGCGATTACAGCTGTAAATCGCTTGGGGTATGTCTCTATCAGTTTTGCACATCGAGAGACTGAAATTTTTGCCCATGCCTCCTTGCAAAACAGCTCGAGCTCAGTGAGGTTGGATGGAGAGCATTTGTGAACAGCAGTTTTCAGTTCTTTCCACAGATTCTCGATTGGATTCAGGTCTGGACTTTGACTTGACCATTCTAACACCTGGATATGTTTATTTGTGAACCATTCCATTGGAGATTTTGCTTTATGTTTTGGATCATTGTCTTGTTGGAAGACAAATCTCCGTCCCAGGCTCAGGTCTTTTGCAGACTCCATCAGGTTTCCTTCCAGAATGGTCCTGTATGTGGCTCCATCCATCTTCCCATCAATTTTAACCATCTTCCCTGTCCCTGCTAAAGAAAAGCAGGCCCAAACCATGATGCTGCCACCACCATGTTTGACAGTGGGGATGGTGTGTTCAGGGTGATGAGCTGTGTTGCTTTTACGCCAAACATAACATTTTGCATTGTTGCCAAAAAGTTCGATTTTGGTTTCATCTGACCAGAGCACCTTCTTCCACATGTTTGGTGTGTCTCCCAGGTGGCTTGTGGCAAACTTTAAACAACACTTTTTATGGATATCTTTAAGAAATGGCTTTCTTCTTGCCACTCTTCCATAAAGGCCAGATTTGTGCAGTATACGACTGATTGTTGTCCTATGGACAGAGTCTCCCACCTCAGCTGTAGATCTCTGCAGTTCATCCAGAGTGATCATGGGCCGCTTGGCTGCATCTCTGATCAGTCTTCTCCTTGTATGAGCTGAAAGTTTAGAGGGACGGCCAGGTCTTGGTAGATTTGCAGTGGTCTGATACTCCTTCCATTTCAATATTATCGCTTGCACAGTGCTCCTTGGGATGTTTAAAGCTTGGGAAATCTTTTTGTATCCAAATCCGGCTTTAAACTTCTCCACAACAGTATCTCGGACCTGCCTGGTGTGTTCCTTGTTCTTCATGATGCTCTCTGCGCTTTAAACGAACCTCTGAGACTATCACAGTGCAGGTGCATTTATACGGAGACTTGATTACACACAGGTGGATTCTATTTATCATCATTAGTCATTTAGGTCAACATTGGATCATTCAGAGATCCTCACTGAACTTCTGGAGAGAGTTTGCTGCACTGAAAGTAAAGGGGCTGAATAATTTTGCACGCCCAATTTTTCAGTTTTTTATTTGTTAAAAAAGTTTGAAATATCCAATAAATTTCGTTCCACTTCATGATTGTGTCCCACTTGTTGTTGATTCTTCACAAAAAATTACAGTTTTATATCTTTATGTTTGAAGCCTGAAATGTGGCAAAAGGTTGCAAAGTTCAAGGGGGCCGAATACTTTCGCAAGGCACTGTACATACTTGACACACATAAGGTTCTATGTGAAGCAAGAAAATTTACATGTTACACTTTGATAGTTGGGGAAAAAACTCCCCACTTTTGTAGCTGTGTTGATGGTGTAAATTTTAGCATCTCACTAAAATGCTACATGGACTGCTGTGTCATGTACAACATATGCAAACCATGTGGCCTTGAACAAAACTGAGCATAGTGAGGAAAATTACTTAATTTGCTAATTAGGGAAAAGTGCTGGTTTCTGCTATTTGAACAACAAAACACTAACAGTGCAGTCAGTTGAAATGACTCCAAATTACAACCAGAATAAATCTATACAAAGGAACAAAATTGAAATGCTCATGTTAGCTTGCTAATGATGCCGATATATACGGGTTAGCCAGGTATTTAACATGTCCAAAGGAAGAAAATCTCATCTGCGTAAAATTTTAGTTCTTTGGATGATTTTTAGTGGTCTCCATCTCTGACATGCCAAACCATTGTTAACCCTGGTTTTTCCTCATTCTTTGTCGCAATCTTTCCGTGCTACAGAAATCTTTCTGTGGCCTCTTAGATCCAACAGGTCCGCTCCCATCCTGGGTTGTACCTGCACAGGGAGCCTCCCTGGTCTTTGAAATGTCCCATATTGGTGTGAAACACAAGTCCTATAACCTCTGATCAACGGGGGCATGGAAGAAGTGCAGCGCAGATTTTAACAACAGTGGCCACAGAGGATAAGAAATAAACACAAGGCATGAAGAAGAGTAGGGTGGGAACTTAGACCACGTTCACACTCTAGGCTGAAGTGACTCAAATCTGATCTTTTTGCCTAAATGCGACCCATATCCGATTTCCTTATGACAGTGTGAACAGCACAAATCCGATTTTTTCAAATCCGACCCAGACCACTTTCATATGTGGTCCTAAATCGGATACGTATCCGATGTTTTGCAATGCGACTTCAGTCCTCACTCGGAAATTATTAATGAATTCTGTGTCAGTGAAGCCCCTCACGGAATCCCACCAGTCCTGGCTCCGACTCCGCACCCACACATTCCTCTGTACACAGGTAGCAGCCACTGCTCCACAAAAGGCCATAAGCAATATTTGTGCTCTCCTTCTTCTTGATATTCTTCTTATTATTATGTCTTTATTTCAATTGCAAATTGTAAGGTACATCGCTACGCACATGCTATCACGAGCCACACCCCTTTTTATTTCCGCAAACACAGTACGCCGCGTCTGGCGTCACGTCCTCTTCTGCGCATGCTGGTCACTTCAGGACCGTATACCGTTCACACATGAGACAGATGGCAGTCGCATTTAAATGACAGTGTGAACAACAGCGCAAAAAAAAATCCGATCTGAGCATTAAGACCTGCAGTGTGAACGTAGTCTTAGTACACCCGTGGGCAAAAAAAACACTTCTAGACCATTTTTTTTAACTTGATTTATCTAAATTTGTGCTGAATCTCAGTTAATGCAGCTTTAACATCCCTACTCCATCTGAACACCATATCTTATTTTTCCTCGTTCAAAACAAAAACAAAACATACAGACACAATGGGGACTGTGCCGCCACGAGACAGCACATAAATAAACTCCGTGTAATAATAGTTGGCCTACTGTTTAAAGCCATAGATACCCAGCGAGGAGCTGAACTTTATGGGATGTGTTTTTTGTTTTTTTTACCCTGGCTTTGCCATTGTTTTTATGTCTTACCATGGTTATCTAAAAACGTATACAAAACAGTAAATCCAAGTAAACACACACAGCACCCACGGTATAACATTATTCTGATAGTGAGTTAAGTTATGAAATCCGCTGATACTTTGAAAAACTTACCAGCCTTTTGCTGTAGCGCGGCTTCGAATTATCCATCATCACTCCAAAAAGTTTTGTCCAACCTTAAGCTGTAATGTTACTATAGTACCACATGGCTCACTGGTGAGTAGGCTAAGCAACATCCGCAAAGTGGGTTTATAAAAAGTAAACTGACCATCTTAGGATTCTCCCGTTTAGTCAACGTTAACGGAGATGAGAATACGCTATTTTTACCATCTCTGCTAAGCTCTAAAACGTGCCTAACATTAATTGCTCTCAGTCTAGCATTTCATTTACACCTACTGACTTAACACGTGTAGTGAACCCACTAATGCCAAATATAGGAATTAATGTGCAGTCCCACTCGTTTAAAAAGGTTAACGCTAAGCAAAGTACAAACAGTTACATGATCAAGTCAACTATCCGAAAAGCGTTGTTGTTTATTTTCGCCATCCCAAGTCGTGTCCATATAATGCTAGCCACCCCGCTTCTGCCGAAAACAAAATTATCCATATAGTTATATTAGAATTCCTTCATTCCGATAGTTATGATAAACTACGAGAAATGCTATATGCTGCTACTACTATTTATACAAATGTAGCACAGCTAATAGAAACCCAGAACCGCAGCCATTTTGTATATCATCACAAAAACACATCATAATCTCACGCCTACAAACATGCAATTGGCCAGTCACAGATATGTTCAGGAGGGGATTCATTGGACTACAACATTGTCACTCACGTGAAAAACCGGTAACTGTGATTGGACAAGAACACCAAATAGACGTATAAATAACTGTAAAGCTACCAATAACAGCACAATAAGAAAACGACCTGATACCTTATTGGTTAATAAAGCCCAATGGCATTGATTGGTGGACATATACACAATTAGTAAAGAGAAGAAGCCAATCGTGTGACGATAGAACAAACTACCGACCGTCCATTACCGAACTTAGCTATTCGTCACTCAGAAATAACCGAAATTACCTCGGAGGTAACTTGTCTTAGAGCGCTTACCCCCATATTTACATAAGTCTGTCCACTTCCAAGCTCCTGTAGTGATCCCAAAAGTATGATGTCTTCTGTGGCCCGTGCTTTCCTTCTTAACGTCTCATTTCGCAGAGACACGTTTTGTAGCCTTCATCTCTACAGGGAAGTGCCTTAAGGTCCATAAATGGAAGTGTGCTTTGAACTAGCTACTGTCGATTGGCTGGAAAATGTTGCATGGCCGTTGTGATAGGTGGCAGTGAGTTGTCTTTCAAATACCACAACTGGAATACGGCGAGCGAGAGGAACATCTCAGACTGACGCGCACTACCAATAAAACAATATAATAATCATCCAACAGATTCATCTTAGTTTAAGTCAACACGTAGCTATAAATTACATCGTTTATACAAAAAGTAGCTGTAAACAATGTACACAAGAAAGGAAGGGCATAGACATTTACTCTACATGTTAACAAAGTGTATACACACATATTGTATAATACCCCGATGCTCTGCTACACCTCTATGTAGACTAGGCTCCTCCCGTTGTCCTGTGGCCACAAACAATAGAGGACTCTGCATCATTCAAAAACATTTTGACACATAAAATGCATACCCTAGGTTTTAAGTGGACCGTAAACCAGATTATGTCTTCCTATTGTTAGGATATAACCTAAGCCAAGGGTTTTCAAAGTGTGTGGAGGTGAGCCTCCCTTCAGAGAAAATTATGAAAACAACCCTGCCAACACATGCACACAAATTTATTATTTGTGCATCCCAATCTTCCACTCAACCATAAAAATTGCTTTCAACAATAAATGTAAACATATTTTAAACAACACTTTTGAAACACAATTCTACCCTCATAGACACATTTACTTTCCATCAGTGGCGGGCTGTGCATTTCGTACCTGGGCCTTCAGTGGGGACTTACCCAACTTAAATCACCTCTTAATACCACCACTATCACATTGCAATTATAGAAACCATCAATACTATACAAAAACGCAATATAATAAGCATGGGATTACAGAGAGAGAGAGAGGTATTTCGCGTACTGAGGGTGAATACCATTTTTACTAAGGCAAGAAACCCAGTTAAGACAACTCCAAACCTCTACACTACAACTGCAACTGTACATCATCTGGAGCAGTTCAGACTCAATATTTATCTAATAGCATGACAAAAACATACAAAATTTAAATTAAATACATCATACTCACCAGAGATGCTATTTATTTATAGACAAAAT